TCAAGCAGATCCACACTCCACCACAGTTTGGTGTCATCTGCAAATTTACTGAGGGCACACTCAATCCCCTCATCCAGGTCATGGATAAAGATATTAAACAAGACTGGCCCCAGCACTGAGCCCTGGGGGACACCGCTTGTGCCTGGCCGCCAACTGGATTTAGCTCCATTGACCACGACTCTCTGGGCTCGGCCATCCAGCCAGTTTGTAACCCAGCAAAGAGTACACCCATCTAGGCCATGAACTGCCAGCTTCTCCAAGAGAATTCTGTGGGAGACTGTGTCGAAATTCCCAACCTTTAGAGGCATTTCCAAGGAAAGCTCCATGAAGTTGCCCCTGAAACATCATTACTTAAGTGCTAAATTGGGGAAAAATCCTCAAGAATACTTAAAGTTGTGCTTTAAGGTTTGGGGTTTTTTTGAGGGGGGACTAAAAGCTGAGCTGCTGCCATGGGACGCCCTGCACTGCATCAAGTGTGCCGTGAAGGCTTCAAGGTGTTGGTCACACCTCGATGAATGGCTAAAAAAAGAAAAAGAAAATGGTAAAAAAACCTGCTTGCACAAGCAAGGAAAAGCACGTGGGGTGGGATGGGTGGTGAGAAATGGTAGCCAGCTCTTGCAGGAGGCCTGGGAGAAATCATCTGTAGAGCAAATGGGCTCTGAAAGTCTTTGGATGTAGGACATGTAGGATGGAGAGAAGAAGTCAAGGCTCAGCCCAGCGATAAGACGTCCAAATACTCAAATATAATGAACTCATTTACCCAACCAGGGTTCAGGGCAGCAATTAATGAAGCCTAAGATTTCAAGTCTGCTAATATCCCATATTATCCGCCCAGCACTGAAACAGCGTGAAGATAACAAGGAGCTTTCTAGGAACTCCCAAACAGCATCTCACCGCCTCCTGATTGCTGCAGATGGGAAAAAATGTGTTAATTAAACAGCGGAATAGCTCTGCTGCTTTTTCTGACTCACATTAGCAGGAGAGCAACGATTTTAAATGAGAGGTGGAAGCAGCAAGAGGAAATGCAGATTCGAAATGTCCATATTCATCGCAGCAGCAGAAGTGGAGACTCCTCCATCATGAGGTTCTCCAGGAACCCAACAATGTCGCCCACGGACCAACCAACCTCCTGTTTTTTCAATCTCAGGGATTTATTTTCCTATTCCGAATGCACTTTTTCAACCAAAGACCTTGGAGGCTTCATTTCTGATGGGCATCTGGAGACGTGGACCAGCTCAAGGCTGCGTGGTTCCACCGCGGTTTGAATGCTAACGCTTGCTGCTGTTTCCCGATTGCTGAAGCACGGACAATTTAGCTATGATATTAAAAAAGATATTAAACATAATAGTCCGGGCCGACATAATCTTCCATGTTTATAAACTGGGGAAAAAATAGAACAATTTGCAGGTAAAAATGAAGCATAATCAAGCTCTAATGACACGAGATGATGGATGCTACTCTCAGAAAAGCGTGTCTGACAGCTAATTTTAAAGCCTAATTACGACTATCTAACACCTTATTAGGATTAGGAGGTTGGCAGGGCCTGTGCTATTGCTGCTTCGCGGTTCAAAAAAAAAAGCCGGCTGGGATTTTAAAAGCAATAGCGAGCTTTTAAGCTCCAGCTTCTATTAAAATTGCTGATTAAATCCCTCGCGCCACTCTAGAAATCTCAACCTTATTGATCCTGCAACACAGAAGTGCCCTGAATTGCGCAGATAAATTTTTCTATATTAACTGTAAGGTTGGCAAGGGGTGGGGGCAGGGGGGGAGCTTTGTGCTGAATTTTGTGTCACCCACGTGAAGGGTTCACCACAAGTGTAATTCCTAAGAAGGATAAGGAATTGGTTGGATGGCTGCATCCTGAGTTACAGTCAATGGTTCAATGTCCACATGAAAACCAGTAATGAGTGGTGTCCCTCAAGGGTGAGTACTGGGACCAATATGATTTAGTATCTTCATCAGTGACGTAGGCAGTGGGATCGAGTGCATCCTCAGCAGGTTTGCAGGTGACACCAAGCTGAGTGGTGCGGTTGATACGCTGGTGGGAAGGGATGGCATCCAGAGGGACCTGGGCAGGCTTGAGGAGTGGGCCCAGGTGAACCTCATGAGGTCCAACAAGGCCAAGTGCAGGGTCCTGCACCTGGGTGGGGGCAATCCCCACAGACTGGGGATGAAGGGATGGAGAGCAGCCCTGTTCAGAGGGGCTTGGGGGTACTGGGGGGTGAAAAGCTGGCCGTGAGCCGGCCATGGGAGCTGGCAGCCCAGAAAGCCAACCGGGCCCTGGGCTGCATCCCCAGCCGCGTGGATGGAAATGGTCCGAGAGCTGGAACGCCTCTGCGCTGGGGAAAGGCTGGGAGAGTTGGGGGTGTTCAGCCTGGAGAAGGCGCCAGGCAATGGTTTTAACCTGAAAGAAGGTAGGTTTAGATTGGACATTAGGAGGAAATGTGAGGGAGGTGAGACACTGGCACAGGTTGCCCAGAGAAGTTGTGGATGACCCATCATTGGAAGTGTTCAAGGCCAGGTTGGATGCGACTTTGAGCAACCTGACCTAGTGGAAGATGTCCTTGCCCATGGCAGGAGGCTTGGATTGGATGATCTTCAAAGGTCTCTTCCAAAGCAAATCATTCTGTGATTCCACAATTCTGTGATTCTATAAAAATGGACTTGCATTTTTTTTCAGTAAATTCAAGTTGTGCCTAAGGAGGCTGCACTCGGCGCGCTCCCACCCCTGGGAGCAGCAGGCAGATCCCCCAAGGAGGATGCAGGGCAGAGCTTGGGGCTCACACCATGGTGGATTGTGGCCAGGAGTAAGCAGCTCCAGAAGTCCTACATGGCTGCATGGCCCAGTTGAGTCTGACTTGTTCCTGGGGGTCTGGTCCTGCCCCTGACACCACCCTCCAGCCTGGCTCATCCTCTTCCACCCTTTCACCTGGCTTTATTATCCGGACGCCTTCCCTGTACCCGGGGAGCTGGAGGAACAGTTTTGACATGGTGAGGATGGGGACATGGCAGGGGATAATGCCATGGTGTGGACACCAGCACAGGCACAGAGAAGTTGTGGATGACCCATCATTGGAAGTGTTCAAGGCCAGGCTGGATGGGGCTTTAAGCAACCTGGCCTGGTAGACTTGCATTGCCTCTGCCAAAATCCTCCCCGGCATCATCATTGCCACCGCTATCCTCACCAGCCAGACAAAAGCAAAGAGGCAGAAATGACCATAAAATCTATAACCTTGCTCACTACCATACTCAGACCTTTGTGTACATGACCCCCCCGGACCTCAACTGGAGCATCTAAGCAGCAAACCAAGGCAAAACCAAGCTTTGAAACTCCAACATTAAAGGACCAAAAGCCAAAAGGCAAAGGTCCCCACAGTCTAGGCAAGGCCAGCATGAAGGCACCTGGGCAGCCCTTGCCCAGCCTTTAAGCTCTTGCCACCATCTTTCACTGCACCCTTTTTGTCTTAGGGGTGCAGATGCGGGGAGGTACTGAGCAGCTATTGCACATTTATTTGTATTTATCCCTGTTGAGCGTGCGGCTCTGATCCACGCTGGTGGGCGCTCTTCACCCTGGGAACAGGCCTCATCTCCCAGGCTTCTCCTTGGTTCTCCTCCATCCAGATCTGACACCTTGCTGATGCTCATGAGTAAGCTCCCACCCTTGTCCTGCCACGGGACACCTGGGGAAGGCTGTTCTCCCAAGAACAAAACCTAGGCTAGGTGAGATGGAGCCGAAGGGCAGAACCAATTTGGGATGCCCAATCTTAAGTGCCTCTGATTTTTCAGAGCTTGCGCTTGAGATGGCATCTCCCAGCAGAGCTCTGGCGAGGCCAACCACCGCTCTAAGCCTGAAGCATGCCGCAAATCCAACCTCATGGCTTTGCCTATGTCCAAATTAAAGGTGCCCAAGCCAGTTCTCTGGAATCAAGGCCAACCTACACGGGTCTGGCCTGTGACCACACTATTAAACTCCTTTATCACCCACACTGGGTGGCCACAGCCAAATTTTGCCCCCAAACCCTTTTCTACCCCAGTACCTGCTCTTCCCCTCTCTGATTTTGAGGGAGGAATCTCACTTGCAGCAGCCTGGAGGTGCAATGGGGAGGAGAAATCCCATCCAGGCATGGGATGAACTCCAAGGGAATGTTGATGAATAATATCTAGGCTTCTATTAATTACGCACTGAGATTTTTCACTTACAACTCAGTCAAATCTGGTCTGGTTTGAAATTAGGTGTGACGCAAGGCTCACGCACCGTGTCAGGTGTACAGCCTGTACCCCAAAGAATGGCTGGGACATCCCATTCCAAAGATCAAATCTTCTGAAGGCTTTTAATAGGTTTGTTTTTAATAATTCTTTTCATTAAAAAAAAAAACAACAAAAAACCAAAACAATATTTCTTCCTTTCATCTCATTCTGTAAATGATTTAATTTAGCACAAAAAGGGAGCCTGGAGCAGAGAAGAGGGTGAGGAATGCTTCGAGCCACGTGTGTGTACGGGCGCAGCGGTCCCAGCCTTGCAAACGTGGCCCGTGGAGAGTCACTTTAAGATACCTCCAAATACGATGGGGAGTTTCTCCAGGTCCCAGAGGCGTTTGGAAGCACCGGTTGTTAATTTTGCAGTTGGAAGCCAGGAGCGGTCCCACCTCATGCCTGCAGCACGCCCCGCGTTAGCCGGGCTTTAGCAGGCAACGTGGGGACAAGAGCAGGCAGGAGCAGGCAGGCAGGGGCCGGAGGACACCCCACATACCAGGGGAAGCACTGGGGGCTTATCAGGGAGCTGATCACCCCTCCTGGAGGCACCATTGGGCCTCATCAGGGGTGAGATTACAAGGTTCCACCTGGAAAAGCCTGTTTGACTGCGAGCCCTAAGCAGGATCTCCTCCCCCTGCCTCCCCTCCGCCAATTTGGGTTAAAAAGTGGGAATTTCACCCGGGGTTCCTTGAAAATCAGGCTTTATTTTGGAATTCTCTCTTTCACTTTTAAGGGAATAGGAAATATCTCCCTTTGGTTTTCCTCCGTATGCTCAACTACGGAGCATCACCACTGCAGATACAGACCCGCAAGCGACCTCACGTTGCTCATGGGTACCAAACACTCATAGAATCATAGAATCATAGAATGTTTTGGGTTGGAAGGGATCCCTAGAGGTCACCCAGTCCAACCCCCCTGCAGTGGGCAGGGACACCACTAACTAGATCAGGTTGCTCAGAGCCCCATCCAACCTATCCTTGAATGTTTCCAGGGATGGGGCCTTCACTATCTCTCTGGGCAACCTGTTCCAGTGTTTTACCACCCAAAGGTAAAGGAAAGGCCTTCACCCTTCCCTGCTTGACTCCTCCTCCTCCTCAGGAGCACTGGGAGGGTCAACGCTCTCCTTTTCATGGTTTTAATGAAGGCGAACAGAAAGGAGCAGGGATGCTCCCTGGTTTTCAGAAGAAAAAAAAAAACCCAAGAGCTCTGCAAAATTTCATCCCAGAAGGGATTGCAGCAGCAGCACAACCCTTCCACCGGTCAGCTCTGGTGGCAGAAGGTGATGGATCCGCTACGTGGTGCCAGCGAGCACCCCCAGGACATGAGCACCCCCAGCTCAGCACCCAGGGAAGGACACACGGACACGCACGCACCTGCACGGACACAAATGATCGGCAAATGGGCCGATCCCAAATAACCCCATCCCCAAATAACCCACAGGAGGGGAGGCAAGTGGGCACAAACCAACCATGGAAAAACCCCAGAAGAAAAGGTTTATTTACTGAATGCTGCAGAAGAAGCCTGATAAGTTCTGTTCTCGGTCCCGGTGTCCACCGGGAGGTGGAAGGTGCCCTCCGTGGCACAGGAGGAGGAGGTCTGTGGCCAGGCTTGCTTCATCAGAAGTGTAGCTTGAGTGGAGACAGAGAAGAGGTGTCACACAGAGCAATGAAGATACAACGTCCCATGTTCATGTCACATTTTGAACCACTTGGCTGCTCTCTTCCTTTCCTCCCCACCTTTTAAGTACGATTATCTCTAGGAATTTCACGTCGTGGTTCTTCTCACCCCACCTGCTCCCCATGGAGGGGTGGTTTGCACAGTGCATCGCAGCAAACCAGTTACCTACCCCAAATGATGGGTTTCCTCAGCTAAGAGACCTGCATGAAGATCTACACTTGGGGGACGTGCCATCATCCCTCCCCAGATACCACTGGTCACCTCTCTGTATAGGGACCAGTAACGGCTGTCCTTGGCCTTGTGTTTCCCAGCTGGAAAACAGGAGGAGCTTGGCGTGCAAGGCATTTTATTCACAGTAAACCCCTCTGAGATGCTTGCACAGCAAGTACCACCAGTGGACAAGGTACTGGTCACTGTCACCATCCCATCATAGCGTTGGGTCGTCCTTAGAGGCTCTGGAAAGGGCAGTCAGCAGAAGCAGTGGCTTTGGGCAGGTCGCCCTGTATCCCAGTTTGTGCTAAAGTATTTATGAAGCCAAGTAGGCTAATCCAGAAGAATCTCCAAAACCAAATCTTAACATAGAATGTTTTGGGTTGGAAGGGACCTTTAGAGGTCATCTAGTCTTGGGGGATTTGAGAAGGGACCATTAGTATTCAGTCATTTTGTGGGTCTTAAATTTTCTGAAAGAGGACAAGGTCTTACACTAACAGCCGTAATGCACGATGAACCAGCACTGCCTATACCTTCATCCTCTATCTAAATGCATCACCAATGCTGCCGTTACGTCAAAGGCTTTCTGGAGCACATCTATGAAGAAGGAAGATCACCAACCCAAGCCTACAACCAGGCTCCTTCCCAAAGTTGGTGCCTCCGGGAAAGATTTAACAGGTCTTTTTCTGTTTTCCTTTTTTTTTTTTATTCCCCTGAAACTATGGATCTGTCCTAATTTTTTGTTCCAGACTAATCTCAAATGGTGGCCCCTGCCACCCTTGGTTTAAGTCCCACCACCTCCCAACAGAGTGCGTACACGTTTTGAAAGCCTCAGCCCGTTATGTCCTTCTCTGGAGATCTTCAACCCCTGCCTGGACGCTGTCCTGTGCCCCCGGCTCTGGGTGAGCCTGCTTGAGCAGGGGGGTGGCACTGGGTGATTTCCCGAGGTCCCTTCCAACCCTTGCTAGTCTGGGATTCTGGGATTCTGTTATTACAGCTGGCTGCTCACCAGGTTAACAAGCTGCTCTAGCTCTCGTTACAAAAGAAATAAGCCCTGGGTTTTCCACGTACCGCAGTACGTATGTGGCACACCCAGCTACTAAGGAAAGAAAACCAAGTGAGGGTTGATCGATCCTCACCAAGCCGCTCAGCTATCAGACCTCGCTGTGAAGCTGTGGAGGGTAAAGGAGGTGAAATGAGGCAGCTGCTGGCATCAAAGAAAATCACGGATTTATGGCTTTTCTAAAGGTATTTTTTTGTGAACACAGAAGGTGGGCTGGTGACACGCTTGCTCTCTACACCAAATTACTAAATTCCCCAAGATCTCTAGAACGTTGGAGGGCAGGGTATGTCCCCATTGTCCTCTTCTCCCTGCATGGGTGGCGTTAGGGCCAGGTAGGATTTCCCCAGAGATGCCGTAAAGGGATTTTGGGTCAGATCCGCCAACTCAAGAGACTTCTGGAGAAAAAAAAAATAATAAAAAAAAGGATCTTTGGGCAAGAGAGGATGATTTTGTAGGCAGGGAACCAGCCAAACTCAGACAAAGCCATCTGGGGTGGAAAGAGGAGCTGTTTGGGAGGGACACTATGGCCCAAAGGAGGAGGTGGTGGGTTCCTTATCCTCCTGACGGCCCGAAGGGTGTCAGACATGAAGACATTTTAAAGCTTCACTTCATAATTCCTCCTCCCAAGCAAGTTCCTACCCCTGAGGGGGCTCAGTGCTAAGCCCCACAGAAGGGACTTGATGCCTTGGTCAGGACTTGTAAAGCTTTCTACAGCAAGAGCGATAATGTTTCAAACCCCTCCAACACCTCCGTGTCTGCTCAGACTCTTAATGAACCATTTCTGAAGATGCAACTGTAAATCTGGAGTGCCACAGGGCTGGAAGTTGGGGACGAGTGGTTGAGGAGGCCAAGGAAGAATCAGCACTGGTGCCACAGCCCACACCAGCCATGCCACAGGTCCTAATGGTTGGACACCACTGCCCAGAAAGAGCGGAGAAGCACTGCTGTGGGTCTGCTGGTCCACCAAAACCTCATGAGACCACTCTCCTAGTGGGGGACAGAAACAGAGGAGCATGGAGGCCACCCAGCAGCGATGCTTTACTGGATGGTATGGCAATCATCAGCTGTGCGGAGATGTTTATGGGTGCAAGACCTGGCTGGATGGTGCTCCACTGCTGGAGACGTGGAAACAAGCTCCCCCTTCCTCATCATCTTCAAGAGAAAACCAGGAGGTTTGTGGGAAGAGAAGCATTCAGATCGCAATTTCTCCTCCACTCGAGCACTGATCACGTTCTGCTCCGAGCCTGTGCCCCCTCCCAAAGGTTTGTGAGTTATTAAGAATTTCCAAACTGCCTTGCTTTATTTTTCATGGTACGCTGCACTCCTGAACATCACGCTGGAGCGCCAACTCCCAGCGCTGAGACAGAAACACTCTTT